ACAAGTGACTTCACCTTTTTGAGGCTGTTTCCTTATTTGTTAAATGGGAATAATAACAATCAATATCTATTTACTGGATTGTTGTGAGAATTAAATTAGATTGGGTTTATAAAGCCATTAGGCATATCTGTGCCAGGTTAAAATATAATGCTCAATTAATGATGGATGCCATTCATTGCTATTAATCGACTATGGCCCTACCTGGAAAAACAAAACACTCTACATATAAACATAGCTCCCTTTTCAGAGGCATCGAACAAACAAATATTGCTGTGTATTGTAGGACTTAACAGTCTCATTGAAAATACGTGGCGTGAACACGCAAAATAAATATAAGATTAAAATAATAGAGTTAGTAAAGTGAAGTGGTAAAAAAGCATGGAGTCAGTATAATACGTGAGCACTGAGAACAGTGCCTGCGCCTAGGAATTGTTTGCCTTTGATACAGCAGTGCAAGCTAAGGTCAATTTTTAAGAGAAAGTTTCAAAAAAGACCTATGAGGATGCTCCGTTGGGTGAATTGCTCCAAATTATTGTGGGCCAAACAAACAAGTGGATAAGAATTGAATGCACTAACCTGTAATAGCACCTGATCAGAAGGATCTTGGTTGTCTCAGTCAATAGTCAGTTATTCACTATTTGGATGTCCTAAGCCTTTATTCCTAAAATATTTGCGGGTACTATTTTGAATTACCTTACCTGTTAGCTTAGAAGAAAGACAATTATTTGTTTGTCTTATTTTGAATACAGCCAAGAAACAGTCCTCTACATTGCGATTGTATTCTATAAACTTTACTTCATAGCAATTATAACTCTGCAGCACATTTAACTTACTAATATTTATTGAAATATTTTTAGCTGCAAAAATATTTTATGTTCACTATTATTTATTAATGCCCTGTTTTAAAATATTACACATAAAATTTATTCCAGTGCACATTAGTAAATAAATTATGCTTGTAATTTCTAATGCATTTTTAATTATAAATTTATCCATGTCTACCTTTATTTATGATAGTGGTGTCTCACTGTTGAACATACTGTATATTAATGGAGACACTGTTAATTATGCATTCTTAGTTGCATTCGACAAAACATACGAGCCTGGTTTTTTACATCCTAAGTCCAGTTAACATCAATTAATTTAGGAGTCGGCACCCACAGTACTGGCTACCTTTAAAACAAAATAAGATACTATTAGAAGATGGTTATAGGGCCTGGATTTGGGGAAGAGATACTAAATAATACCAGGCAGATGTTCTTTTTCACTCTAAGTGTCTAAAAAAGGGATACTTACCAGACTATTCAGCACAAAAACGACAGAACAAAGCTCAGTGAATCTCTGCCAAGACCCCAGAACTGATCTTTATTTAAATAATATCTGCAAAGTGTTATGTTTAAGATTTTCTGGTTGGTTAATTTTGTGCTTGCCTTCCACCCACCAAACTCACCTCATTATAAGCAACATTATAATATCTTTTATAATGCTTTGAAATTATACACTTCTTGGGGGCTTCTTTAAAATAGTTTAAATGGATTTTTGACACCTGATTTACTATTGCTCTGAAAATACTTTGTACCATAGGCGTATAAATGCCTGTGTTTTCCCTGTGGGAGAGAAAAAGTATATTTCAAATGGAGAGGAAACCAAAATTGGGAAAATAGCAGGGAAACGTATTCACACATATAAAATATTAAGAACACACATTTGCGGAGAAACTCGAAGGTGCCTCCACTTTCCCACAGCTCTGGCAGGGCTTGAAAGAGGGTTACTTTCATCTTATTATGTTTACTCTCAGCTTGTTATCATAGATTTCACAAAGTGATATTTTCCACATGCGAATTCTGCTCATACAAAATGAGATTTTCAATTGCTTCATTTCAAGTGCACGTTTTGAGCACCTTTTCATTTAACGTGCATTTTACCAAGCGTTTATGGTGTTTTAAGCTTTTGGCATATAAAAAGAAATAAAAGTCATCCCTTTCCTTATATATTGTCAGGGAAACCGATGCGTATTGAAAGAACAAGAGAAATTGTGAGAAATGCTGAACACAGAGAACGAAGCTCTTCAAGTGGCCTGTTAGGAAGAGGTGATCTCAGAAGGCTTCCTGGAGAAAGCAATAATAGATTGGATCTTCAAGGATGGCAAGAATATATTTAGAAACAGTTAAAATGGTGTATATATGTATATTCATATAGATGTAAAATCAAAATATTTTTAAAAGCACATCGGGGCTTATTCTTTTAGAATATTGCCACTATGTTTTGTAGACACCTAAGATAGCCACTGGAGAGGTAACAAGGAGAAAAACCAAGGTGCCCTTGCCAACATCTTTAGGCATCTTAGACTGCCCAACCGCAATAGCTGCCATCTGACTGAAAGGCAAGACTGGAAGAAGAACCACCCACCGATCCACAAAATCTTGAGAAGTAATAAATGGTGGTTATTTGAAGCCACTAAAGAAGAAGGCGAAGAAGAGGAATAGGAATTTACGGAGCGTAGAGGGAAAGGGCAATTTAGGTTGAGCAGGAATTGAGGAAAGCAAATGCATAAAGGACCCCGATTCTTGTTGCCCGTTTTGTGCCAGGCCATGTTCTAAGTGACCAGAAGAAAAGACACCTCCATCCCTCTCCATAGCCTTCTTTCCAAATTCCACAGAGCCGAAGTCTGTGAAACTTGATTGTCATAGGTATTCTGAGGTATTAGTCCCTCTGCCCTCATGTCTGCTGGAGTCCCCCAGTCAGCCGCTGGCCCAGTACTATCAAGGTGCTATAAAAACATAATTTTTCTCTGTGTGTCAGCTGTCACGGTCCTACTCCCATGCGCTCCTGGGTTGAGAGACAGGTCAATGTATGCTTTGCTTTTTAATGCCAGTTCTACTGTCTGATACAACTCCTACTCCCTGGAGGCTAAGACATGCAGTTGGCCTGTCTTCTCTCATCTACCTACCACCCTCAGTGGCAGAATGGCTTAGGAAACACCCCAGTTTCTCATTCACCCCATCTCCATCCATCATCCTGGGAGCTTTTGAGGTCCACGTTCCTTGACCATCTCATTGCCAATAACTTTTTTCCTCTATCCACTTCAGCTGGGACCCTACTTTCACATGGCTCTTTGTCTGAAGGTTATTCATGAAGACATCTATGTCTGAGGATAACCTCTGTCTTTCTGCCTTGCTCTATCAGTGACTTCCATCATACCTGTTCCAGGACCTTCAGGCCGCTGGCACAAACCTTTCTGGAATTCTCTTACCTATCCAGGATCCATTCTGTGGCCCTTTGTTTTGAGCACTCTTAAAAACTGAGATCTTAAACTCCTTGATCCAATCACACCTGTCCGGCAAAACTCCTCCCTTGGATGAATGCAGCTTTTCACTCTTTACATGCCTGTATCTTGACTGTTCAAACTAACTATAGACAAGTCACACAAACCATTATATTAGTATCACCATAAATTCAGTCTTCATTCTTAATGGGGCCCTGAACATAGTCTTTGAAATTTTGCCATATTTCTCTGCACTCCAAATTGCCGTAGGAACTATTTGAAATTCATAGTCAAACGATTATAAGCTTCATGAGGGTAGAGTCCCTGTCTGGCTTTTTCACCACTGAATCTTGAATGCCTAGGATAAGCATAATCTGTAGGCACTCAATAAGTATTCTGCTTATTGACTGAGGTGTAGTAATAATGGTAAGCATTTTGTGTAAATGTTAGTAAATAAATAGCAATATGCCAATTTCCTATGTGGATTATACGTATTAGCTCATTTAATCCTTATAGCAACCAAATAAGGTTGGTTCGGACTTTTGAGTGGATATTTGAGCCTTAAAACCCATAGGTGCTTAATTAACATGTTCAGTTGATTTCAATTTTAGGCGAGTTGAGTTTCCTGTGTCCAAGGAACACTCAGGTAGCTGTGGTTCAGATTGGAGCTCAAGAGAGAAGTGAAAATGAAGATTAATATTTAGGACGAGTCAGATAACCTGGTGATTTCGGAAAGCAGAATATCTGACCTCATTTACATCGTTTGCTTTGGCACAGCGCCTCTGACAGGCCTCTGACGGTACTATGGTGGTGTATGTGCAAGAGTGCATTTGGATGTTTAAGGTGTGTCCCCCCCATCCATGAGCCGAGATCAATCATATATTTCAACATGGGGGTGGTGTATTTGTTGGTGACTTTGGTACTGGGTAAGGAGCCCCCAGGGATGAAATTCAGCCTTGACTTTTTTTTCCCCTTTTGCTAAGGTGCGTTTTTGAGAGACACTTGCAGAACTAACTCTCAGGTAGGAGAGATATGTCATTGCATTGCTTGATTTCTTTACCCTTCACAGGCTTCCCCCACTGATTCCCGCTGAGAGAGACCCGCGCAAAAAATGAGCTCTGTTCTATGGCAGTCCTCATCTCATGGAAACGTCTCTGCAGTTCTTGAGGAAGATAATTATCACTTCTATATTACAGATAGTAAGAGTAATAACTAATATTTACTAGGCGTTTATTGTGTCAGGCACTGTATTGAGTGTTTTTAGAGCATCATCTCATTCATTTCTCACAGCAATACTCTGAAATTGGAGCTATTGTATAGATGGGAAAACCAAGGGTCAGAGAACGCAGATGTCCTAAGGATACACAGCAAGTTAGAGTTGGCATTTGAACCCAGATCTTTCTGACCCAGAGACAAAGAGGCCTCATCAATCATTTCTGGATGAATTTGTTTTTTTTTTTCCGTAGAACCAGGGAGAAAAGAGGAGATTTGAAGGAGAGCGTTAATGTTGATTTCCGCCTAAGGTAACTCCGGGGGTAGACGTATCTCGCCAGACTCCCAGATAGTCTCTGACCCAAGGCCTTCCCGGGGGCCGGGGGAATAGCACGCATGCGCACCGCCTCCCTTTAGCCCCGCCCCCCGGGAAGGCTTCGCTCCTTGCTCTCGGCTCTGGGGCTTGCGCACAACGTCCCCAGCCAGCGGCTCCTTCCCGGTCCGGGACTTCCGGTGCGTGGGGTGCGGTTCCGGGTCGTAGTGCGACTCGGAGCAGCGAGGCTGCTACTCGGCTGGCGGGTGGCGGCGAGCAACGGGGGTATGGGGGCGAACCCGGAAAGCGGCAGCTGAGCCGGCCGGGAGGAGCGCCAGACCCCAAGGATTCCGGGAGCGCGGAGGTCGGGGTAGGGGCCGGGAGGCGCGGGGGAGTCAAGCTTTCCCGCAAAGAACGTGTCCCGGGCCCGATCCGGCCCGTAGTGTGACAGCACCTTCAGGTAAAGGTTGCCCCAGCCGCTAGCTCACTCACTTGCTCTCCACCCGAGGAGCCTGGCGGCTCCCCTCACACCTCTGCTCTCGGCGCTGCCTAGCGAGCACCCTGTCTGGCTCTTGCTCGGGTATCCCGTGAGCATCCGTTTCCTGGCTCTTTTCAGAACTGGAGGCTGCTGTTTGTGAGCCTGACAGTTAGCTGGTTTTGTGATTTGGGGGAGGAGAAGCTGGTGGACCTGGGAGTGTGGGGTGGGGTTAGAGGTGGGTGGGAAAGAGGAGAGTACTGTTGGTTCTGGCAGTTTCTGGCCCTGCACTCGGCAACGTACTAGTTGTCCTAATCTGCATAACGTGAAAATCAACTTTTTAAAGTATGCCTGTGTGGTACCTGTTTCCTAGCAGCCTTTCTCTCCATTGCCCTAAAAGGGTAAATAGCCTCGCAGAACTACTTTCATCTGGCTGTAGTGCTGCTATAACTTTGATTCAGCTTTTTATTTATGGGAGTGGCAAGTAGTCTTCTAGATCTGTTTAAGGCTGAAAAAAATGATTGTAGTTTAAAACAGGATTATTACTTTAACCAGAGGCCCAAAAGTTGACAGCAATTGGTTAAAATTTCATTCTGAATGAACGCAAGTAGTTTCGAAGTCTATCACAGTACTTGGCGCTTTGCGAAGCATCATGTAAACGAAAACCAGCAAAGTCCAAGACTTCCCCAAGTGTGAACAGTCAAATGGAGACAGATGTTTACATATAGTTAAAACAAAGCCAACATTCTTTTTATTATTATTTATGCCTACAGCACCTGGCCTTCCTAGGTGGTCTCCCATCCAAGTACTAACCAGGACCGACCCTGCTTAGAAGACCGTGGCTCCACTGGGGCATGAACCCAGGACCTTCTGGGTTTAAAGCAGACGTGCTAGCCCCTACACTATGGAGCCGCGTCCCAAAGCCGACATTCTCCGTTCTGTTTTTGACGAGCAAAGGGGGTGGCTTCCTAATTTAAAAACCCATTAGAGAAGGAAAAGGGGTCACCATGTTTTATTCCTCATCTACTATGAGCCCACAGAGGGTGCTCAGTGAAACGTTGAAAGAGTTATTGATGAAACATTGATAATTGTTTTAATCTTTTTCAGTTTGCACAGTTGCAGGCTTGCTGGGGCCTATGAGGTGTGCTGGTGGCCCCTTTCCCATTCAACTTTGTGCTCATACCTACTGTCAGCTACTCTGGTGCCATACTGAACTCGCATTTCTCTCCACCTCCTGATCTGTCACCTGACTAACTTTCCAGCTGTCCTTGAAAAGACTTCCTTCCTAAATTACTCTACCCTTATTCTTTACTCTTTGTCCCTTGTTTTCTGTAGGACATTCTCCCTGCTAGAAGGTTTCTCCTTTTCTGTTTCCACCTATGAGCTGTTACCCAGGGCCCAGCTGAAATTGGCTTCCCTCAACCAATTCAGGAAAACCCCAGCTTTTCCAGAATCCTATAAGCACTCTTTATTATATCTTCAGTTACTTCACTTAGCAAACATTTACTAGGTATGGGTTTATGCCAGATACCATGCCAGACATCGTAGTGATAAATAAGACTCAGTCCTTGCTGCAGGGAGCTCAATTTAGTAAGAGAGATTAGGAAGTAATTACAACACAATGATAAGTACACTGCATGAGAGTTCTTTCTGTGATATAGTAGCACAGGAGAGGAGTGGGCCATTAACTTTTGAGACGTGTGCTATGGCCAGGTAATGCTTCATAATGCGGGGTTAACTAAACTTTATTATTTACTGTGTACTGCGTATTATATGTAGGTTTTTCTTGTTTAATCATTTTAACCTCAATTTACAGATAGGAAGACTTGATAAATTACACAGCTGGTACGAGACAGGGCCAGGATTCAAACCCAGATCTGCCTGATGCCCACATCTGTGCTTTTTCCATTATTGTTTTGCCTTCTTTCTCACACCATAGCTCTATCAAGTACATATTAAAACAAGTATACAAGAGAAAAAAATGTGAGTGTCAAAATTAATGGTACAAATGGTCCTTTAAATGTCACGAAGACCATAATCTTTCAAGGCAAGAAGGTGGTAGGTGGGTCACCTCAGCTTTGAATGTGAGTGGGGAAGACATTCTGTAGAGAATAACCATGAACTCTGTATTCAAGTCCTGATTTCTTCTCTTACTAGATATGTGACCTTTGGCATGTTTCCTAATTCTAAGCACTATTTTCCTCAAGTATGGCTTGGAATGGGAGGGGTAATGTGGATCTAATGGAGTGCTGTGAATATTAAGCTAATGTGGATAACGGGCCTGATGCATGCTAAGGTCCCTGAAGTGATAGTATAAGATGCAAAGGTGCAATGACTGTGACATGGTTTTAGAGTGGTGAGTAGACCAGTCTGAAGAAAGCAAGCCATTGCTTCTTTTTAGTGGGGATACTGGGAGGTAAAGTTGGAGAGTCAGTAGGGGTCAGTGTCAGTGAGGGCTTGGGTGTCAGGGAAGAGAGGTAAATTACAGTTTTTTCTTACAGCTTTTCCAGTTAGTAAATACTTTGAGGATCTGTGATTCATTCAGCAGTGGCAGGGGAGATGTTAGACCCTGGGGCTGCAAAGAGGAACAAAACCAGATCCTCACCCTGAGGTTCTTGACATTCCAGTGAGAAGACATTTGTATGCAGGTGAACTGTAGTAAAGTATTGTATGTACTAAGATAGCAGTTCCCACAGGGTACCAAGGAGCACCGAGAAGGGAACACTGATGATGGTTGCAAATGAGCACTTACTATGTGCCAGCATTCTGTTATCACATAGTACCTCATTTATTTCTGTATAGAAAGGTGTATATTAGCGTCCCGATTTTACAGATGAGGAAACTAGACCACAGAGAGGTTAAATAAATTCTTTGAGTTTATGCAGCTGTCGGAGCTATAAGTGGAGGGAATTATCTGCTAGACTTTGGTGTCTGTACTCTTCCGTACCAGTCATGTTGTTTCTTTGTGATGTGGACCAGGACCCTCTGGAATGGCTTCGGGGAGGAGCTAGCCTTGAGCCTTAGGTTTTTTGTGCCTGTCACTGTGCTAGGCAGTAGGGATAATGAAGAATGAACATGGTCCCCGTACTCAAGAAGTTCATTGCCTTGTCTGTCATGTTAAATGTATATATGTATATATATGTGTGTGTGTGTGTGTATATTTTAGTCGGGAGTTTGCTTGTTGACTCATAACTGTAGACTTTAGAAACTGTTATATTTCAGTGGATTCATAAATACTTCAGGCACAGAGAATTTGTTGGAAATCTGTTATACTGATATGTAGGCCTTATTGTTAAGGACATAGCAATAGATACCAAATTATTATATGACATAGAATTCTGTCACATTTTGTTTTTTCCCCATGGGAAGTGCCCTGACCTTATGTTTTCTATGTTTGAAGTTTTTGAGAAGATTTGACTCAACTTGTATTAAATTTAAAATAATTGAGCACTTATGTTTTGGTCAGTGTTAAGTGTTTTAAATACTTTATTTAATCTCCATGATTCTATGAGATAGGTGCTATTACCCCATTTAACACATGAGTAGCCTAGGGCTTAGTTGTTACCCAAGAGTCACACAGCTAGTGAGTGATAACGCCAGAAAAAATTGCCCCAAAAAGAGTGACCAAATATTTATTAACTTTGTTCTCTTTTGAGCATCTGCCTCGGGGGTCTTCAACTCAAATGCCCGTGATGGAGTATAAAGAGTAGAACAGACCTTAGTGAACTGGAGGGCATATGACCAATCTGAAGGTTATCTTTTTCTGCTCACCTCCAGCTGCTTGTTGCTATGTGAGAAAGGCCCACTGTCCCTGGCTTGTTTGGTTGTTTTTAAGAGATGCTGGAAATCTGGATTTTAATGTATTTAGTTTTAAATTTCCCATGTAAAAATTATCACGTAGACCAAAGTGCAGTTGTGGACTGTGTACTGTCCCAGGCTGCCTGATTGTGAATTCTGATCTACTTTATCACTGAAATTTTGGTACCCACTGTTCAAAGCAGGAGGTACAGCACAGGTTGTGATTATTGATCACAGTGAGGGGGTGTTGTGATTGACTCATACTGATGTCTTTGGGGAAGTGGCAGGCAAATGCTTTTATTAAATAATCAGGCTAAATTTCAGGAGGGAAGGGTTTGATAAGGAGATGACCTTGTAATATCTTTGCATTCTTAATACTTTAAATACTATTAAGTCTCTTGTCCCTTTTGGTCCTTTCTATAATGCCATGAAGTGAACAAGAGGGGTAATCATAATCTCCTGGGATAAAGAAATTGGCACCCAGTGAAAGTGCACTAGATTGAGAGGGACCTGAATTCTGAATATAGCTATGCCGCTAAGAGCCTTTTGATTTTGGTCAAGTCACTTACAAATCTTTGCATCTTTTTTCTCCCATCTGGATGATAATGAGGAGCTCAATTCAATGAGGTCTTTTCAGGATGCCAAGCTTTCTGATTCTAATTGACATGCTTAAAGCCGCACAGCCGATTACTGGCAGACTCCAGGAGAGAATGGTTCAAATCTAAAATGCTCCTCCTCCCTTGATGACAGGTATGGAGCCACTGCTCGGCTCTTCCCTCTGTTCTTTGTTCATTACCTCTTCTGGGAAAGGATCTTGACAGGTCAGGTGCTCCCCAAATGCGTACAGTGTTTTGTTGACTATATATACGCAAGATTGAAAGGGGGCATAGAAACACCCAGCACAGTGAGAGAAATATGGTCAGGGAGTTCCCAGCCCAAGAGTTTAATTTATTTTTATTTTAATACCCAGCTTCTACAAGGTGAAAATTGAAGAAATATTGGTCTTCTAGATACTCGTTTTCATTCATGCTCTGTTGTATAAGGAAATAACATAGAATATAAAAATGAAGAAAATAAATTCTGAACAGTCATTCAAAATTTATTAACTCTGGTTGGCAGCAGTCTGGATATATTGGGGAAATAGATTTAATATAGGAAACACAAAATTTGAGCCCAAAGAAGGAAAC